GCTTGAGCCACAGGCACCGAGCCACCTTTGCCAATTTTATGTGACCGTATGAAACTTGCTCCAGCTAAAATGGGTTTATTCTCTGCCCTCCAACACATTTTCTTGTTGGTCAAGTTTGACCCTCTCTCCAAGGTTCATTTCAGATTCTATAAAGTTTTCCTGGACCAGCCCATTCCTGTGCAACCTTTTCCTCCTTAGAGCTTTAGTGGAATTTGCCATCTGTCTCACCATCTGATATGTTGGGATTTATTTTGATTATGAGTCTTGTTTCCCCAACTTCACTGTAAGGCTTTAAAAATGGGAAGTGCATTTCCAGCATGTTGCATGCTGTTCCGGTTAGCACTGACAAGTGTTTGAGGATGAGGGTAACACTGAGCAAACATCTCCCAGAACTTTCACTGTAGTTCTTTCACACAAGGTGAATCTGAAGGACAATTCTCCAAAAATAGCCCCTGCAAAACATATCCAATGACTTCTAAAGATTCGTGCATCTTACGTTCTTTCTTTTCAGAAGTCTAGGACAAGAGTGGCCAGCATGTGCTAGCTGGCTAGGGCAAGCGGGAAGTGACCAGGGCTTCTGCACATGGAGTCTCTCACTCATTGGAGATAACCCTACTGAATCTTAGGCTGAGTCACTTCCAGCACTTTGTCATGGAAACAGGTGGCATTCCTGCTACAATTCTCTCAAGACTGAGTCTCTCAAGTCCCCCTCAAGACTGAGAGAAGATAGGTGTGTGTCTGTAGTCCCAACTACTTAGCAGGCTGAGGTGTGAGGATCATTTGAGGCTGAACCAGCCTTGGCAACAGGAGGAGGAGGAAGAAAAGGAAGAAGAAGGGAAGGGGATCCAGGGACCTGTAGGCATAATAGCGGAACTGCTATATCCAGAGCAGTTCTTTTTCTTTTCTATGAGGATGTCAAAATATACCAGAATAACTCTTATGACCCCTGTGCTACCCTTTCCATTTCCTAAAACCTGTATCTACATAATAAGATAGCACCTTTGAGATTACAGAACATTTTTACATCCATATTACATATGTCTTATTTCTCACAACAGAAATGAGAACAGCAGGGGAAGCAAGCCCTTCTAGTTACTGACAAGCTTCTTTGTAAGCCTCGCTTTTTTTTTTTTTTTTTAAGACACAGTCTCACTTTGTCACCCTCGGTAGAGTGCCCTGGCGTCACAGCTCACAGCACCCTCCAACTCTTGAGCTTAGGCAATTCTCTTGCCTCAGCCTCCCGAGTAGCTGGGACTACAGGCGCCCACCAGAACGCCCGGCTATTTTGTTGTTGTTGTTGTTGCAGTTTGCCCTGGGCCGGGTTTGAACCCACTGCCCTTGGTATATAGAGACAGCGCCTTACTCACTGAGCCACAGGCACCACCCCAAGCCTCACTTTCTTCAAGGTGACCTTTACCAAGTTTATATGACCAGTAAGTGATGAAATTAGAACCAGTACCAGACCTTTAGCCTGCTGGTCCTCTTTCCATTGTACCCAGAGCCCTCCTTCTCCCACCTGACCTTCCACATCTATATCTGTACCCACATACCTCTGTCTGTGTCCTCGTGTGTGTATATACATACAAACATAGCACATACCACACCACACACGCACACTCACACCCACTCACTCTCCTCTTTTACTTCAGGAGCTTCTTTGCTATTCAAATGCATTTTGTAGAGACATTTTGATAGTAGAAATTCTTTTGTTTGTTTGTTTGTTTGTTTGGGACAGTCTCATTCTGTTGCCCTGAGTTGAATGTATCATCATAGCTGGTGGTATCATCATAGCTCACAGCAACCTCAAATTCCTGGGCTCAAGCGATCCTCCTTCCTCAGACTCCTGCACGTAACTGGGACTATAGGTGCCTGGCTAAGTAGAGATGAGGTCTTGCTCTTGGTCAGGCTGGTCTGAAACTCCTGAGCTCAAACAATCCATCCATCTCAGCTTCCCAGAGCGCTAGGATTATAGTCTCGAGCCACTGTGCCCACCAGGTAGTAAAAATTCTGATGATAAATCAATGAAGGTCTTTGTCTGAGATATGAGAGTGGATTGAATTCCTTTTCTTGTTGTTGTTTTTTTTT